TACCTGAGGGGCTGGGGAGGAAACCTGGGGCCCCTGAGACCATACCCATTGTCTTTCACATCTCCTGTGATGGCCACACCAAAGAACTGATTTCTACGAGAACTAAGTGCTTCGGCAGCTTAAAGAAGGCGTCCCTCCCCCCCAGCCCTCACACCCTCGGGATGAGACATGGAGCCTCATCTGTGGGACCTGCCAACCTCCGGAGCCAGGGCAGGGCGCCCCCCTGCCTCCAGGCAGGGTGGGGGGAGGCCCTGCTCCTCTTGGGTACTTGCAGACCCTGTCGGCACAAACACACGAGGCTCAGGCAGCACCCGAGGGTCCCGGTGACTCGAGTGCGGCCTGCTCCTGTCCCATCAGTTCACACTGGAGGCCCAGGGAAGTCACTTCCCGTCTCTGAGCCACAGTTTCCTCCTCTGTAAGCAAGGACGCCTTCCATCCTCACAAGCAGACTGGATGCAGGTGAAAGAGGGGAAAATGCAAGACGTTCAGCATAATACCTGGCCCAAGAGGGCTCAGTCAGCATCGGCTTTTAATGCTGGGCCGTTGAACAACATTTGGCCACGTTCCACTGGATAAAGGCTCTGATCCCAAGTGTCAAGTTCCTGGGATGGCCAAGTCCCCATCCAGCCCTCTCCAGGTCAGCTGGAGGCCCCTCTGGGGAGTTCCAATTTGTGCCGCTGACCTACAGGATCCAGCGGGAGAGGCCAAGGATGAGACAGGAAGTGCACAGCCTGGCGCGCACGAAGGGAAGTCCCCTGGGCAGTCTGGTGCACACGTAGTCACATGCCCCCACCCCGTGGGAGGGAGAGCCACGGCTGAGTGCCAGCGGCACGCCTGGCACTGTGGCCGCAGGACAGTGGCACGGGATCCCGGGAACAAGCTGGGTGAAGCCAGGACTCACGATTCCTGTACTCTGAGTTGAGCACTTGTGGGCTCATGGAGCCTAAGCAGCCACACGAGGTCCTGAAGCTTAGGAGAGGCCCAGGGCGCTGGGAAGCCAGGCTGGGCTGATGCTGCAGCCGTCCTGAGTACCAGATGTGCCGGTGCTGGCTGCCTTCGGGTGGTGAGAGCCAGGACTTTGTGCCTCTCTGTGCCTCTCACTACCACCCCCTTGGTGCTCAAGGGGTCAGTCAGCAAGACCTCAGGAAGGCAAACAGGCAAGGACACGCTCCTCCCACCAAAGGCACTGGGAGCTTTCACACTCGCGTTCTGCCCCCTTGGTCAACCCGATGCCCAAGCACAGAAGGGTTGCTCTCCCTGGTCCCCAAGGCCGGCCCAAACGCGTCACTGAAATCACATGCGCACAGAACCAACACTGACGTCGGGCAACGTCCCTTATGGCTCTAAGTACAAACAGCCCAAAGAAACCGTCGGCGGGTGGGACCTGGTGGTGTATTAACACTGCATTGCCGAAACACAATATGGAACGAAACTTATCTTAAAAAAGGGCGATATGCTTCATCATTCTAAGAAACTCGAGGGGGAAATCCAGCGGGATCATACCGGTAGACGCAAATAAAGCACTTGCTACCGTTCAAGATCCATTGATAAATTAAATGCAAGAAAACACCTTCTTAATAACCAACGACATAAGGAATCTTCCAGAAACCTAGGCCAACATCATATCTGTGAAATAGGGTTGCCATTCCCTGGGACGTGAGTCTGCCCACCGTGATGGGCGTCACGGCCGCCACATGAGACAGAGAGAGGAAGGAGAGCCATGAACACCGACAACTCAGCTCTGATTGCGGCCGGCGTGACCGCTCACCTAGAAGACCCGAGGGAACCGACTGAAAGCTGTTAGAAGAGACGAGAGAGCTTCAGTGAGCGAGCCCCACCTGAGCGCACCCTAGGAGCCAGGGCAGAAGCAGGAGCACAGCAGAAGCACCTCGGGAAGACCCACCTCGGGAAGACCCGCTCCCGCAGCCGTGCAAACCCCACGCCCCGAGCTGCCCTTGCCACGAAGCTCACAGGGCCACCGGGGAGACCGCGGGGTGCCCAGACACTGGCTGGAAGCTGTCACTACCGGCACGAGGAGGTCATGGCGCCCACAGCTCAGCAGTCTGTTCTCCAGACAAAAGGGCAGAGGCGATCGGCTCCCATCAGCACACACCGTCGTTTTCTCAGAACGTGACACATTGTTTTCAAAACTCAAACTGAAAAACACACACGTGATGATAGCCAAGACGTGCCTGCCGCCGTCACCACCAAGCGCCACAGCCACGGGACGCGTAGGCTTTGGCACAAGGACGGACACGCGGCAGGGACCTGAGGGCGCGGGAGGGGTGGTGGGCACCACGTGCCCCCCACCGCGCTGACGGGACGGGAGGCGCGTGCCTGGCCTGGGCGGGGCTGACACCCACCTACTCAGAGGCTACGCTGCGGCTAGCGCCGGCCCCCACCTCGCGGCCCCCACCTCGCAAAAGGCTGGGAGAGAAACAGGGGGCAGCCATCTGCATCAGGAAGGCATCTGATGTGCAGAGACCCGAGCATGGAAAGGAACAGAGCCAAGGACAAGGACAGAACAGCTCTCAACAGGGAGAAGGCGCCCGCGGGGATGACCACGGTCAGGTCCCCCCAAGAATGTCTGCAGGTCTCGTAGAAAAGACACAGCGACAAAGGACGGGCGAGCGGCAGGTCCAAGAACACGCACGCCAGCCGGCGCGGATGAGGAAAAGCTTCCCGCCTCGCCGGTCACCGGGGAGCAGTGGGGGAGCGCGCTCACGTGCTGGTGGCCACGTGTGGTCTGGGAAGGCCCAGAGCAGGGAGGGCGTGGATCCGGCCTCAGGGTCGTGTCTGCCGGACAGACACGAGAGGAGCCGCGGGGAGCCTCGCGTGGTCTGAGAAGTAACAGCAGGGCTGGCCCACCCACAGCCAATACCCGCACACCCTCACCTGTGCCAAAGCCCGCCCGGGCCCAGGTTTCCACCCCCCCAGCCTCAGGACGCTGCCACCAACAGTCCGAACACCCAGTGACTCAGGACAGTTTTGTGCTATGAACGGGCCAATCTGTGTGACCCAGCACGGAACCACACTTTGCGGGGTCCCGCGTCAAAATCCAAGCACGGCACCACTCCAAAGGACCCTTCTGGAGAGGAAGTTTCCTCTGGGCACCCAGCCTGCATGCCACTTGTGGACTGTCCCCACTGCACAGTGACCTCAGTTTGGGGGTGACGGCAGGGGAGAAAGGCCATGTGTCGCCCAAGGTGCCACGTGAGAAGACCATCAGCCTCGTCATTGGGGGCCAGGAGGCCAGGGGACCACGCCCACCACCGGCATCCCCAGGCCACAACCACAGTCTCCCAGCCCTCTCGTCCTGGGCCCACCTCTGCGCAGGCCACTGGGGAGGGGCCCCCGTCTCCTCAGGCCGGGCGTGTGGCATCCTGGGAAAACAGTTCTTCTCCCCACCTGCTGGCAGTGCTGAAACCGGCCGTCCCGTGGCCTGCGGTCACTGAGGGGACCCGGTCCCTCTCCTAAGAGGTGTCCCTCAAGGTTCACACTCAGTCCTAAATTCCCAAGGAGCCTGGAGAGCCACGTTTGCAGAGGAATTGGGGACGGGGGGTGCGTGTGTGCACACGTGCGCACGGATGTACATACACACGCGTGTGCGAGCATGTCTGTGCACACGGGCACGTAGGCGAGCACACGCATGCGCTCGCCCTCGCGCGTCCCCGCTCAGCATGCAGGCGAGTCCGGAAGACAGTGCAGCATCACCGGGGTGGGGGGCAGCGGAGAGCGGGCCTGGCGCCCAGTGGAAGCGGAAAGCAGCCTGTCTGCTGACCACAACAGAAACGCTAAGTGCTTCCTTTGCACAATAATTAAAAAGCCAGAGCCATTCGAGCTGCTCAGCAGCCCTCGCTCAGGCGTCTCCGGGGAGCGAGCATCCTCCCGCCCCTCAGGGGAAGGGACTCTGAGTCCACACTGTGGCAGCCACTGGCCACCATCTCCCAGATGCATCAGGTTCCAAGGTGACAGCTGAGAACCCGTCGTTGAGCTGGATTCAAACCGGAGAGTCATCAGAACCGACGCTTTGGAGTGGGGTTCTCGTGCACCCATCAAACCCATGTTCCAGGAAGGGGATGGTAGCGGTGTGGACGCAGGGCCGGCCCCCCCCACCTTCCCCGACGATGACATAGGGGAGGCAGAAGCCACAGGGATTTGCAGTTCTCGCCCCGCCCACCTGGGCTGGGACCTAAGGCTCAGGAAAGCCCCCTGTTGCACACCCCAAAGACGTGGCATGTCTGGGTCACCCACTGCCCGGGTCTGTGTCCCCACCGCAAGGCCCAGGACTCAGTCCCCGGGTGCCCACGACCCTTGGCTGGTCCTGCTGACGAGCTGCACCCCATCCTATGGCTGAAGACGCCCAAGTCCCTCCCCTTCCGGCTGGACACACGGTGGCTGCTTAGAGGTGCAGCTGGGGGCAGCCGGAGCCGGCATGGACGTGGGGGGCCCCTGGGAGCCTGCCAGGACAGACGGCGTCCCCTCCGTCACAGCAGGGCACGGGGGCTCTACTGGGAGGAGACTGCCCTGTCCGGCCTGCCACGCCCCTACTCAGCCCTCCGAGAACCGCACCAGCTCCCCATGCTGGCCGCACCAAATGGCTCTGAAGGCTGGTGTGGCCTGCAGAGGTGCTGCGGGCCTTATGTGGAAACGGAAGCCCAGGTGGGATGTCACCTGCCCACACGTGACACCTTCTACCTGGCAGATCTTGGCCTTAGAGCCTCGTGCTCCCGGTGTCCAGACAGCTCAACTTGGTGGCTTCCCCGTCCTCTGACCTCCGGCACCTGCCAACACGTCCGGGGTCACATCCCTACCAGCACCCTGAGGCCTCCCACAAGGGCTCCACACCAGGCTATTGGCCTCTCCAGGACCCCAGGCCCCTGCATGCCCAGAGCCGGTGCAAACCCCCAGCTGTGACCAAGGTCTCCACAGGGGCGGTCAGGAGAACGGTAGAGAAGTTGTTCAACTTCCCCGAGCCTTGCTGCCCCCACAATCCACAGGGTCAGGGAGGACCTCTTCGGGCCACTGGGTCCCCCTGGGTCCTCAGCCGCTGGCCCCAAGACCACGGGTGCCCGCAGCCACAGCGCAGTGGCCGGCCTCCCTGACTCGCCCAGCACAGTGATTATGGATGCCCCACGAGGGGGCTGAGCTCGACCTGCCCTCCGACCCCAGCTTTCTGTGGTGGCCACGATGGCAGAAACGTGGTTCCACGTTCTGTCTCGGCGTGGCGGCTCCAGCTGCTCGGCAGGCATGACGCTGACAAGAGGAACATACTAGAGCCACTGGGACTTGTTTCTGCCACGGGGCGGGCAGCTGGCTCACTGTCGCTCACTGGTTGGGTCCCAGCCACAGCCCCTTCCCTCGCTGCCCAGCAGCCCAGAGCTGGGTCCCCAGGGGCTCCCGGACCCCCTCCGCTAGCCAGGAGACGGTGGCTGCCCTTCCTGACGAGCGCCAGCCGAGGTCCCCGGCAGGGAGTCTCTGATTAAGTCACCGTAAACACGTGAGGCAACGTCACAGGCCGACAAGAGCTGGCACCGGGGGTGGATGGCGTGTCCAAAGCTCCAGACCTCACTGCCCCACACAGAACAGGCCAGAGTGACCGCACGGTGGATCCCTGAGCACGCCTGTGGAAGGTCCAACCAAACCGCATGGCAGACTTCTCTGGAAGGCCTCTCCAGAGGTCCTGGCCCAGGGACCAGGCCGGGTCCTGCCTCCACCCCTTGCAAACATCGTAAGCTCTCCAGTAGCTAGTACGGGCCTCACGCCCCAAGGCAAGGCCCCTGGCTCATCTCCATGCTCCAGAGGAGAAAAAGATTTTGGGTCAGTGTGGGTGGCCTCATCTACACACACACACACACACACA